AATAGTGGCAGAAATGTCACTGTAGCTGTGATCTGTCTGATCACTGAACGGATTTCATCCTGGATAGCCTTCTGAGACTTTTCTCTGGGTGCACTGTCAAAAGAGCCAAAATCAATTAATTCATTTTAGGTTTTAATGAGTAAAAGAGTTGTAAAACTATTCATCTGATTAAATACCCTCAAAATCGATAAGCAATGCATAAAAAAGGAGTTTTAAAATTTATAATAAAACACATAATGAATTCAGTCACCACTCTTGAGAAAAACATAAAATTCTCAGATTATATCCTTCAATCATTTTCTCAGTCGGTTGTAACAAGTTTTTATGATCCATCATTTGCTTAAAATTATTTTTTAAGTTATATAATTATTCAGAACTGCCTTAACTGAAAGTCATTTTCAGTTCATAAAATAGTCTGGTTCACTATTTTTCCAGAAAAACAAACCCTAATATGGAATAAGCACAAAAAAGGAGATATTTTTAAAATGTTAAGAGTATCCTTTGGATCTATAACCCGGTAGGCACGATACATATCCTTATCCTTAATTTATCCTTCCAACCACCTTTTAGGGTTGGTTTTAGTATCAAGCAAGTCATCTAGTATCAGACTGACTAGAAAATTTGTCAACTACTTTAAGTCAGGAAAACTTCAGGATCTCGTAAAATAAAAAACAGTATCTAAAATATTTAATTAGTGCAAGTATTTTGACCATTTTAGTAATGTCTAAATTTCTAATTTTCTTTTATTGCAAATAAAATATTAAGTTATACATAAAATTATTTTTATATGCTAAACATTTCCTAAAACAGACCAAAAGCTTCAGAAGCAAATTCAATTTCAGTATGAGAAATGGTTCTGAGTTTACAGAAAAGCATGCCCAGGACAACACTAAGCACTGAAATACAAAGGTGGGCATTTCCCATCCAAGGTGCCTAGAACTTTCAGAAGTGTCTTCAGAAGTTCATGGCATCAAACAAAGTACCATCGCGCTGACTCTTAAGCTGTGTAAGAGTCTAAAATTATCCCTTACAGTTAAAAGTACTTTTGATAAATTCATTCAACGGTCCATCTAATACACTGTATAGTTTTGTATATACCACCATACTAAAGTTATAAATTCACTGTACAATAAAGGCAATTATATTAAAAGTATACTATACAGGGTGTCTATAAAGTTCATGTATGATTTACTCTGTAAAACTATTTTTAATTAAAACGTAACCTGGAAATAGACTATAATTTATATAAAACTAGTTCAGTATAATTGGAACATTTAGTAATGTAAAGTCTTAAAGGAAAATGAAAATAACTTAATATCTACTTACCTATCGTCTTTTGCAGTCTTGTCACACTCAATATCAAACTGCCATCTTTCAAGGACCTCACCACTTTCAATATTTGAGATAACTACAACCAGTTTCTGAACCGAACACTTGTACAACCAATCTGAAACACATTTAAGGCCATCTTTTTTTAGTTCACTGCATTGCAAAGCAGCTCTTTTCTTAGGCATTACTTCCTATCCTTAGTAAATGCATTTCTACCACTGCTATTTAACATGTCCTCCCACACACCCTACCTGTAACCTAGCTTAGGTTTTCAAACTCTGAATATCTGTACCACTTACAGTGAGTACTGAACATATGGTAGTTCCATCCTAATCCAAGGTAAGGACAGAGGAAATGGGTATTAATCTAAGTATCACATCAATAAATGAGAAATGATCAAATGACTGCTATTAAAAAGGTATATGGTGCAATGAAAGCATAAAACAGGAACATTTGACCCATTCAGGGAGGCCTGGGAAGGTCTGAGTTTAGCTATTAGTATTATTAGTATTAACAACACCAAACATGCAAAAGGAAGAGGCCTTAAATACTCTAAAGGGAAGAACATATGACCAAAAGACTGAAAGCAGGCCAGTAAAACTGCAATGAAGAAACAAAGGATAAACAGGGTAACGCTGGATAAATAGGAATTTATTTATGTAAAGCCAGGTGGATAAAATTCTAAAAATTACTCTTAAAGACCAGCATAGTCATTCACTCTGTTTGAAGCAGGGCATGATGTAATTAGATTTGGACTTCAGGTAAAAAGGAGTTCTAGGAACACTAGTTAGTCAATCAGTAATTTAAGTGAGAGTTAATGAAAGCTTGTAGGAAGATAAACTGGTCAAAATAGATCAGTAGACAGAGAAAAGATTTAACATTGTTAAAATTTACTAGATTTGGTATGGGAAGCTTGGTGTCTGTAGCTCAGCGGCTAGCTCACCAGCCACATACACTGGAGCTGGTGGGTTCGAATCCAGCCCGGGCTTGCCAAACAATGACAACTATAACCAAAAAATAGCTGGGCGTTGCGGCGGGTGCCTGTAGTCCCAGCTACTTGGGAGGCTGAGGCAAAAGAATCGCTTAAGCCCAGGAGTTTCAAGTTGCTGTGAGCTGTGAAGCCACAGGTCAACACAGTGAGACTGTCTCAAAAAAAAAAAAAAATAGAGTTGTTATGGGAGTTAAGAAAGGAAAGTGATTCAGAGATAGCACCCAAGTTTCTGACTTGTACTTCGTATTTCTGGTCCTACAATTGAGTCATCCATTGACAGGAAAGAGGCTTGGGACCAAAGGCTCCCAAGTTCAGAGATGATCCTAAATTCAGTTTTTATTATGCTTGTAGCATAAAGATATAGCTACTGGATACATGGATCTTGAATAAGGAAAGACTTGGGTGAGATGTAAGTTTATGGGTTGACTACACAAAAGTTAGTAAAGCTATGCACGTATCATAGATCACTTATAAAGAAATTATAAAGAGAGAAGAGGAATTAATCTTGGAAATTGGTATATTCAGGAATAAGCAAATTTTTAAAGTGAAGAAACATCAATCTAGCCATATTTTGTAAATATTTAAGACTTATGAGATACCAAGCTCTCTGCTGCATATTCTTTTTTAAACAAACCTTTAAATGTAAAAACATTCTTAGCTCATGGACAGTATGAAAACAGGCCACCTGTTTGATGTAGCCTGCTACGCCTTGTGACCCAGAGCATAGCATATAACAGTAACTTTTTATTATAATAGTTTTACTCTGAAAAGGAAGTGATTACACAGTAATGTGAAGCAGATTTAGGTTAGGTGGTAATTTGTTCTTTTAAAATTGCAAAGAGGAAACCAGTAGGAATAAGTAAATCAAAACAGAGAAGAAGAAAATACAGGAGGGAAGAAATAGGATAAAGACCGTAAAAAGCTAGAGGCCAAGGACGTTGCTTAACATCCTATAATACACAGAAAAGCACACAAACAAAAGAAACATACAAGCTCAAATGTTAATAGTGCTGAAGGTTGAGAAACCTTGCACTAGAAAATAAAACCTGTCTTCCTTTGACTGTCAGGCTTGAAACACAACCTGCACAAATGTTGAGGGATTCCATTACTGTAGGTAAAATGGCAGGGTAATAGTAACAGCTTATTTATAGAATAATGTAGCTTAAAAGAGAGGCATCAAGCTAACAACGTTTAGATGGTCATCTTCAGAAGGGCATATTAAAACTGAAGTTAAAAAATTTAACTAAAACTATCAGAATGAAGCTACATTTGAAGCAAAAATTCTGAACAAAAATGAATGAATTATTTCTAAATTTAAAAATTCAAAGAAGAACAAGATAGCCACTGTAGTATGGGCAGACAGTCATTTTAGAAGACCAACTGGGAAAAATCAGACAACTGTGAAAGAGAAAACCATAAGAATTTTAGAAGGGAAGAAAGAAATAGATGGAGAATAAATATTCATCCAACAGGTAAAACAGAAATTTCTTGAGGTAAGAGGGGAAAAACAAATGTTCAGATAGAAAAAAACCTTACTGACATACAGGCAGAATTTTTAAAAAGACAAAATGAAAATACATGAAAAAGAAGAAAAGTCTACTAAATGTTATTTTGTTAATTACTACATTTTTTTTTTTTAAGTTTAGTACCTTGGTTGAATCCGTGTTAACTTCCCTGATCTTAATTTAATAACATCAGACTCCAACCAGTTACAGAGAATCAAGACTATATAGCGTATATGTTTTCAAACATGTAATAAACACCATCATAATTATATGGAATTCCAACTTGTTCCATATGGTCATATTAGTGGCAAAAGCCATTTCCAAAGGAATTATTTGATGAAAAACTGTTTTGTTAAGCCATGCCAGATTCATAACATCAAAATATAGTGAAGAAGGATGAGATTTCTTTCTACATATATTATTTACTTCCTCCCAGGTGAGAATCATTATATTTGAGATAGTAGTACATTTTCCAATTTTTTGTACCGAACTGAAAAATGGCCACTTAAGATGCTAGGAAATGTAGATCCTAGAAGGGCTGCAACAGTCAAATTGTTTACAATGATTAAATACCTTTTAGCTGTTCCACCACATTATTTAGGTATTTTTTGAGCTCAAGATCAGTAGTTACAAGCAAAGTGAGTCCGTATTTCTGCACACGAGTAAAAGTTTCAGATGGATATATGCCACGCTGATATAAAATGCTGTTGATGCCAAACGCTGAAAGCAAAAGAAATGTTATAGAGAAGCTGTTATCACTTTTTAACTCTAGAAAATAAAATGTATTTAGATATGGTTATGGTTTCATTGATACTATAAAGTGGTAAAAGACATTTGTGTGTTCCGCTGAAAGCAGAGCAGGTACAGACTGGCATTAAAAAACCGTAAACTCTTGCTTCTAAGTAAAAAAGATACCTGCAATTATGTGGCAATAAAAGAAAAAAATGGCAAAGTGCATTAATCACTGCCAAATTTCACTTCACTGTAATACAAGACCAAATTCAGATTATGTGGTCAGCGGATGTCAAAGACGGCTTTGGCATCCGAGCTGGCACCTGATTGATTAATCCAGGGCCTCAGGCAAGCCTCTCCCTTTTTCCTCCTTTTCTCCTCACAAATCCTGTTAGGTTCTGTTAGAACCTACAGTCAGCCTGACGGAGAACAGAGCTTCCCCAAGTCTTAGACCCCAACCTCAGAATCACCGAGAGGAGGGCCTTGCTAAAAATACACCCCGCGCCTGACCGCAGTCACTCTCCGTCCCAAATCTCGGGGAACAGGGGTGGGAGCACTTGCACTTTTAACAAACGCTCCCGAGAGGCTACACCGCGAGTAGGCCTCGGAAGCACCTAAGCCTCCCGGCTCCACCTTCAGCAGCGCGTCGGGAGGAGGCTCCCGCAGCCGCCTCTTCCCCCGTTACTCCGATGGAGCTGGAGGCCGGAGGCCGTGAGGGCTTCCCCAGACGCGGAGGCCGAGCCACGGGCCTGCGGAGCCGCCCGGACTCAACTGTCCCCCACCCGGCCTGCGCGAGGGCTTACAGAAGAACTCGGCAACGATCTCGGCGCTCCCGCGCAGGGTGATGCCCTGCTCCCGGGACAGCTGCAGCGCCATAGCCAGGTCCCCGGACGAAGGCACGCGCTTCCAGCCGGCAAACAGCAACCGCAGCGGTCCCCGCAGCCGTTCCCCGCCAATCGTTTCAAAAGTAACGACGCAGCACGCCGTCGTACGCAGGCGCGAGGAGCCCCTAAGCCCCGCCCCGCGCGGCGGGGTCCTGCCCTTTGCCTCTAGCGTCCCACGCCTTCCAGAACGCCAGATTCGCGCAGGCGCAGTTGGTGGCTGGGCGGGGCGCGCTCTTCCGGGTAGTGGAGCTGCGGTGGGTACTTGTTGCTAGTTGTCTCTGGTCGTGGTGGTGGGAGAAAAGATGTGCGATCCCAGTTCTAGTGGTTGCGCGCTAGGTCTGTGGACTGGGCGACAAGCAGCACAATTTCTGAACTTGAAAGTATAACAGATACTTTCCAACAGATAACTGTTTGCCAGCCCTGCCTGGAGTTGCCCCAGTGGTCCCTAGCGAGCTGTCTAAACTTCTGCCAGATTCTTTAGGAATTTAAAAACCAACTGCGTGCGCGGCAGCTAAGCCACAGCTTCAGAGCATCTGTTTTCTGTGAGAGACCGCGGCTTTGCTCGAGAAACTGGGTTAGATCTTGAAGGGACGAGCCGCACCCGCTTTTCTGTCCTTTGTTCACGTCTGTCCTGGGCTCAGGGCCCCCCTTTCGGTGGCGGGGGCAGAGTCTGGAAGGCTGGGGGCTGTGTCTGGAGGTTCCTTCTGTCCAGCCCGCTCAAGCTTAGGTGGCTGGCCAGAAATACGGTCACGTTATTTGTAAGGCCCATCAACATTGAAGAATTTTTCAATGAATTTTGACTCAAATTCAGTCACTTTCCATGTTAGGGTGACAGATATTAAGGAAATAGTGCACAGTTAATGTTCATGTCAGTTGTGAAAGGACTGTATTCTAAAGCAGCTTGGAATCTTATTGTAAAATGAAGCCTGAAAAACTTCGATATTCACCAGACATACTGTTATTTATTTATTTGAGAAACAACTGAGTGTGTAACTTATGATGCTGCACAACCAATTACCATAAATTAGTGGCTTTAAAACAACATTCATTTATTGTTTCAGTTCTGCAGGTCAGAAGTTTGGGAATATTATAGGTGGATATTCTGCTCAGACTCTGAACAAAAAGTGGGCTCTCATGTGAGGTTTGAGGTCCTGTTTTAAGCTGCGTGGTGGTTGACAATTTCTTCCTGGTTGTTGAAGTGAGGTTCCTGTTAACCTTGCTAGCTGTTGGCCCCAGAACTAGTCTGGTACCTTAGCCAGGTATCCCTTTCAAAGGCCTTTACACGTTTTCCAGTCTCTGACTTTTAAAAAAATTTTTAATCCCTCAAGTCTGTAACATGTTTGCATCTTTCTGAAATGTTAATGTATTAAAATTTTTTGACCCCTTAGACTGTGTAAGTACCTGCTTTTAAGTATTTTCTTTTTTTTTTTTTTCCAGCTGTGACTCCAGACAGGATCCAAAGAGGAGTTTTAAAAATCTCTTCTCTGGGTTTCGTGGAGATTTACTTTACCCTTCTGTGTTAGCCTCTTAAAGCACTGCATGTAAGGGACAGGAAAGGGTGAAGTATTTTCGTAGCATGTCCTAGTGCTACTTCAGAGCATTTCTTTCATTGTAAATAATTACATAATAATTATGTAAATAATTATAGAGCTTTCCTGCACCAAAAACAAAATCATATCAAGTTAGATCAATCTGAAAGTTTACTGTCAAACAAAAACTACAGGTCACAATCCAGGAGACTTCAAACCAAGTGTTAAGTATGGTCAGAAGCTTGCCAAACAGCAGTTACACCATAGGTTATAAAATATTAAGAAGGCAGTATTTTGATCTTTTTCGTGATTGCTATTCATGCATGTATTCATACATTAAGACTTTTTTTTTATTTGGTTTTGGGTTTTTTTAGGGCAAATAGACCTATGTAAGTTGCTTTGTCTATAACCGATTGGCTTAATTTCACTGATCATACTGACAAAAATGTAAAGCGTATGTTTTGTGTTTGTGACTGGAGATAGTGTTTCAGGAAATCAGAATGATTTAAATTTTGGTTATGCGCTTACGAGCAATTGGCCTTGGGATATATCTAAACTATGGCCTCCATTTTTAACATCTGTAAGATGCATAATGGCATTTAGTGGGTTCTTTACAAATGCTGTGTATTTTTTGAATGAATGAGCATTTGAATATTTGTCTAGGAGAGCTTTATGGAAGAACCTAAAATATTTTCTAATTAGTAGGTTGAATGGATGAATGAGGTCACTTTTAGGGAACTTTGAGTACCCATCTGGGTTGACTAAACTGGAAGTACCAGGGATTTGTAGGTTTTTCAGATTGAAATAATTAAAGGGGCATTTTTTTCCCCCTAACGTAATGGTGGCAGTCTTACAGGACAGTCTAGGGTGATGGTCCTCAAACTTGAGTGTGTAGAAGAATCTGTATTTTTCAAATTCCTGGCTTTTAGTTTCCCTCCCCCAAGGCTGGTTCTGTCCAATGTAATAGTAATTAGCCACAGGTGACAGTTAAGCCCTTGAAATATGCTGGTCTGAATTGATAGATAGTGCAAGTATAAAATACAGATTTCAAAGATTTAGTATTAAAAAAGAATGTAAAGTGTCACATTAATATGTTTTCTAATTGATTACATATTGAAATGTTATTTTGCATGCATTGCATTAAACATATTATTAAAATAATTTCACTTGTTTCTTTTTAGTTTTTTTAATGGGACTACCGAGACATTTAAAATTACTTATGTGACTCATCTTACATTTCTATTGGACAGTGCTCATCTATAGCACGTGTTGTAGGAGTTGACTTGTTTTAACTGGCATCCTCACTGATTCTGATGCAAGTCTTTAGAACACTCTTTGAAAAGCAATGGACTATGGTGGATATTTTAGCACAGGGCTGGGAAGTTGAGAGCCTGGATGAAATAGATGCCAGAGAGGTTGAATAAGAAGGGGTTCATTAGGGAAAGACATTTTGAAACAAGAATTGAGTTGATGGCAAATATACTGGAAGAAATAAATGGTAGTACAGATAGGCCAAAAGTGTCAAACCTATAATACATGTATGTATAGGCAACAGGCCCTGGCGGGAAAAGCTGCCCAAACTCTGAGCTTGTTCTGCTTTTTATTTATCAGAATAAGACTTGAGATTCTAAGAGCTTTGGAGGGAATTCTTCACGTTAACTTTTTGGAACTTGATTGGGCATGGACTCCATCTTATCAAAACATGCACATTTATCTTTATAGAGTATTTCTTGAAAACTTTCAGTTACTTGAGTTTTTTCTTCATAATACAATAAAATTGTTTTAATGCATGTTGTTTAAGGGGAGGCTATTTGGATAAGGAGTCTGTCCAATTAAGACTGTTTCTGAAGAAAATTCAAACAGAATACATAACCAAATTCGTATTAATAAAAGACGTAACTACAAGTGTGTCATAAACAAGCTTATATTTCGTATTAGGATGCTAAAAACAGAAATATTCATTTTCTAAAGCTAAGATCAAATGAAATTTTAGAATTAAGGTGATAACTAATGATTTAGTTGAACAACCTTATGGATAATGAAACCAAGGTCCAGAGTGGCTGGATAGTCAGTCCAAGGTTCACTATCTAGTTAGTGGAATTTTAGTAGAGAATCTAGGGTCCTGATTTGGTCTTCTATTAAATTATATCTTTGAAAACGTGATTTAAAATGCTCCTTTTTAAAGTTTATTTTTAAAAAGATTAACAGATTTTAGGCTAAGGATTTTTACTCAATAATCTGTACACGTAACTTGTCCAAAAATATGGCAGTTACAAAATGAATTTTATGCCGCTACACCAATAGTGCCAGAAGATGGCACTGTTTACATGTAAAATAATACATTTTAATCTTCTAGTGCATGTGCTTCCAGTTAGGTCCTTTAGTTCAGATAAAATGAAGGGAAAATTAGTAGTTTCTAAGGTAGTCATGAATGTGGAATAATTCAGACAAAATGTTGAATCATAATATTAACGTATCACAGAACTGTTATCCTTTTAAATATTTAGTATATATACACACACATACTGGAAACTAGGTACAGGTTGCCCATCCCTAATCCAAAAATCTGAAATACTCTAAAATTGGAAATTTTTGAAGTTCAAAGGAAATGCACATTGGAGCATTTCCGATTTCAGATGCTGAGCAGGTAAGTACATATAATGCAAATATTCCTAATTCTGAAAAAAATCCCAAATCTGAACCACTCCTGGTCCCAAACGTTTTGGATGCGGCATACTCATACTATGTGGGAATAGTATATATGTGATATAGTATGCATTCAATTTACATATCCTCACTTGGAAAAAGAAAACATTTTAGATAATTAAATTACTATTCTCATAGATTTTGAGAGTTTTTCATCAAATTGCCAGTAGTTATTTTAGTTTTGAAGCCAACATCTTGAAATGGTATATTCTCAATTTGATGACACAGTAGCAGATACTTATGATCATTTTAATAAGACATACACATACCAAATTTTGAAAAGTCTTTCTGCACATAAGCTATTTAATTGCATCAGTTTAGGGAGCTCGCTTTATGAAAAAAAAATTTATTTTTGTCTGAAAACTTAAAGAGTTATTTGTTATATGCCTATAAATATATCCATATTATTTTTCACTTTGTGTGAAGGACAAGAATTAAATCTATAATTTTTACTTTGATTATTTAAGGTTTTAATGCTATTTATATTTTTTCATGGACTTAACAACTAAACTGCATAATGTATATCCATGAAAGTCCCATCTTTCCTCCCATGTACTTTTCTCCTAAACACTCTATGATGTGGTCCTCATGCTCACAAAAATAACCCAGTATGAATAGTGGCATTTTATTAATAAGAAATGGCTTAATAAATTCAACAAATATATCTCTATACTGACAGAATTCATAGTTTTTAATGATCCAGTTGTAGACATAGGTTATCAAGATTTTACTTTTAATGAGAATCACTATTATTCAGAATAAGTCCATATGTTCTTGTAATGAAAACACATTTGTAGTTTCTTTTCAAAAAGTATCACTGTGTTGATTTTGAATTATATCATTGCTTTATTATGTCAGTAATA